AGGACCAGCCGGCCTAGAGGACCAGCCGGCAGCTGACTAATCTGATGGTGCCCCACTTGACGGTTAGCAAATGCTGCACTCAGAGATTTAGGCCACACGTTTATGCTGACTCTGCAGTGGGAGTCTGGGAAGGGAGAAGGACTTCAAACCTGACAGCTCACCTCGCTGTACGTACCATTCGTTTGGATAACCGTGTTCTTGGTCTTTTACTGTTTTAATCAGGAAAAACACACAGAAGTCTGGCGCAGCATTCCAGTGCATCTCTTCATAGTCCTGTTGGGAACGTTCTTACTGTGCAATAACAGGAAATCATTACCAGGAAAGTTAGCTTACCCTCTGTGAAACATAGTAAGTTTTTCTGGAAACGTACAAGTTACACGTTCTGTAAATGACACTAAGCACACTTATTATTGCAGAACTAGAATAAAACCTATACAGACCAGCCACAGATTCCCAAAAAGCAGCACAAAAGCTTGAAATTGCAGGGTCTAGACCAGGGGAAGGAAACCCTGATCCTGGAGTGCCGGAATCCAGCAGGTTTTCCATCCTACCTGGTCTCTGATGAACTACAACTGAACTCAGGCAGATAGTAATGCAAGAGGTAGAACAGAAAACCTTCTGGATACCGGCACTCCAGGATCAGGGCTGCCTAGCCCGGATATAGACTACAGTATTTCACACAAGAGTTTGCAACTCATATACTTGTTCTGTAAGGTGCCATGAAACACAAGCAATTTACAAATGATGAGGAATCCTATCGAAACAGTGCAGACAGAGCCACACATTTCACACTCGAAACTGAAGGCTTTCATTTCACTTTCACCCACCACTTTACAAAGCTCTCCTCTGCAGCTGGCCTCTGCTTGTATTAATGATGCAGCGACGTGACATAATGAGCTTTATTTGCAGCCTGATCAGTCTAAAAAAGCCCAATTTTCTGGCTCTTTACTCAGCACATTAATGTGTGGCCCGTATCATCGTCAATGAGAGCCCCAATACTGAGCCATTTCACGATAGCAGACTTAGTGAAATGATTTAATTGGCTTGGCACATCCCACCTCATTAGCGCTCTCAAACAGTTAAAAGAAAAATTTCACTCAAAAAACTCACGGATGGATTTCTGTTCTTACATACCTGTGATGATGACAATTTAAAAAAGACTAGAGTTGATACGAAAAAAAATTGCAGCATGATGAATCAGAAAACAGTTTCAGCCGGCCACTTATTTCAATTTCAAGTTTACAGACAATACCCCCCCCCCCAGCTACTGTCTACCCAAACAGACACAAACATTTCCATTAAACACTAAAGGCTTTCATGAAATTGGTGGTTCTTTGTGCCTTCATTACAATGTACCGTGTGTGTGTGGTGTCGACATGCTCTCCGCGTGCTGCATCACTCTCCTCTGCCTCCTGCAGTCCATCCAAATACGCATGCTTTGGCGGATTGGGCCTCTAAATCTCCCATAGTGTGGTAGTGTGTGACGGAGCGTGCATGTGTGTGTGAGTGTGCGCTCTGTGATGGGCCGCGGTTCACCTGCCTCATGCTCTGTGTGGCCTAGGATAGGCTCCAGACTCTCTGGAATGGATATGTGGTAAGAAGGCAGACGGATGGATGTTTGATCCAAACCCATTTTAATGCATTTTTTTTCATTTTCACTGTGGAAGCATATTATAAGCCAAAACATATTTGACACTATTGTGCTGAGTAGGAGGAACAATGTAATATAGTGTGCATAATAGAATAATATATTATATATAATAATAAAATAATGTCTACATTCCGCAACCCTGACCAGGGTAAGCGATTGGAGTGGGCAGATATTATTCTGCTCCTGTAATAAATCAGCTGTCAGCTTTCCAGAATTTTAATATTAACTATCTGTGATCATTTTCACTCTATTTCACACTTATACTGTATAGAGCAGCATAAAATTCTTTGATGACATAGAGAAATGCCTTCATTTTACACAGCTTTGCAAAAAGATGGTACATTAAAAAGCTTCCATTCCCAATAGAAAAATTACATTTGTCACAAAGTCGGGAAATAAAAGAATTTTACATGACAGTTCAGGAACTGCTAAGTCAAGCTGAACAGTAAATCAGCAGATTGCTGCCCATTAGCAGGACTGTCGGTGCCCATGTCACAGTCAGTGATGAACTGACACCAGTGGCCTGGCTTATGGAAAAGCAGTAATGCATGTAGTGTGCTAAATTCCTGATATGACAATAAACAGATACACCCCAACATTAACTAACCAGCTAGGCATCTTACAAACCAGTGGGTTAGTTCTGCAAACATACCTGGTGGAGGACACACAGCCCTAAAGTGTCCCAAACAAGAAGGGCCAGCGTTAGTGGGGGGGTCGGAGGTGGGGGCCTTTAGGTTGCCCAGATGTCTGCTTCAGGAGGATTGGATTCACTGATCTGTGATAAGATATAGAATTCTACCTTAAGACTGTGCCCCCCCAAGGCTGATATTATTTGCAGTTTTTTCCCCTGAAACACAGTTGACATGCTACATGCTAACACGACACCTAGCATCCCAATCCAGCCAGGACCTGCAACACCAGCAGAAGCACTGGGTCGGCGCATGAACCTGCATCTCTAAAGTAGCTTATCTCACCTGAGGATCTTATCTGCTCTCACACAAACGGGGACCTTGTCCTTATCGCTCACAAACTTGAAGGGGGGGGGGCTGGCAATCTTCTTAAGTGCCTTGCAGGTACTGCACAATGTTTATAATGGAAATGCTTCCTGAAAGCCGTCAAGGCTGCATCTGTCTTTAAATGGGGGCGAGAGGAATTAGGGAAATTGCCGGGCTGCACAGCGACCGCCGCTGCCAGGCAGATGGATAATGACTGTTAGTTTGTAGCCGCTCGGCACAATAACGAATTGCTATCAGCACCGACCGCGTACTCAAGTTGAGGCTGATGAATGGGCAAAATTACATTTCCAATCGAAGTCTTTTTCACTCATAGGGGAGCTGCAACGGGACATAATTCTCAAGATGGCACATAGTGTAATTGTGCCCTGCCTGAACTGAATGCACAAATTCCACACAGAGAAACACACCCACACTGTATCCTGTATGTGTGTGTATGTGTGCAGTAGCTATAAGACAGAGGGCTAGCACAACTCTTTCTCATGATGAATAATATGTTACTATTATTACTCATATGCAACATTATTAGTAATAATGCTAACAAAATAGAATTGTATACTGATACACACGTACATGAAGTCACAGAATAATTATCACTCATATACTGCTTCCAAAAACTGACAGAAAATGTCAAAATGTCTGTAAGAAAGTCTGAGGCTGGGGGAGAATCTTTGGGAATGACCCGGTTTAAAGGAATCAAGAGCTGCTCCTTGAGTTTCAGACCAAAGCAGATAAATCCATATCCGGCTATGCCACTAAGTACTTTCATTACGACAGAGAAAGAACTGTTTCGGGCCGAAGAGTCTAATCCAATTTAAGTTTAATGACGATCGAAAGCTTTTGAAAGTCTGAAAGTCAAAGACCATGCAGGCCGCGGAAAGACAGGCCGGGCTCATTTCACACAGCTGCCCCCCCAGGAGTCCTCAGGGGGACATCATGACGTCATTTCACGGAGCTGCAGCATATACCTGTCTAAGCCGGGCCGAGGGAGAACCGCACCAAGGGAATTTCAACTTTGATGAAGACAAAAATGAAGCAGAACTTAATCAGTGTTTAAAGAGCTTCAATTAGTCAATGAATTATATTCTCTCCCACATTATTTATTGTTTACTTTTCACTTTAAGTGATTTTTAAATTTTGTGATATAGCTTTGTTATTGTGCATTTACTGACATAATAATTCAGTAGAGTTATTATCAAAGGACTATAAAATGAAATGTCGCACACACACATATTTAAGTGAGGCAGCAGGAAGCGAGGTCTGAACTGTGGCGATTTTGAGTTTCCATGGCGACTGATCACCAGTTATGTGCAAATGGTCTCCCTGCTTAATGAAACAAAGCTGGCCCTGATTGGAATTATCACTCATCGATTGATGAGTAAGACGAGGGGTGAGTGGGTTTGCTTTTATTTGTGATGAGGAGTAGCTTTCCATCTTTCTTGGTGGTTTCTATGCTCCTCTTTCTTCTTCCTTTGTAACTGTGTGAGTTTGTTGGTAGTTTATATGTTGTGTATTGGGCCGTGTGGTTCTCTGAGTCTGAGGCATTTGGTATCATACATCCATACAGGATGAGGAAGCCCTTTGGAACACACAAGTACTAAACATACACCATGAGCACATTAATTATGCTTCTGCAAGAATAATGCATCTCTCAAGCTGCTGGCATTCCTACAGCTGAAGTGTCCTTAAAATGTACTTGAAGTGATTCATAGAATGTCAGTGTTTCCCAACAAGGTCCATGGGGACCTCCAGACAGTCCACATTTTTGCTTCCTTCTAGCTCAAAACACACCTGTACCAGGTATTTGGTGTTCTTGATTGTTTGATTCAGGGCTGGGTTGAGAAACACTATGCTTGCCAGAAGAACCTTATGAGGAAATGAGGTGTGATACAAAAGATATGTTAATGCGATAAGCATTATGCCATCAACCTCCATTTGTCCTTTGAAGAACATCAGAGTTTCTCTGTTAGGCATCCTATGAAATATTACCTGTGTTCTCTCTAGATCTAGCCTAGAGTGTTTCTGTCTGTGTCCTGTATCCAATTCAGCAGAACTAAACCCAGCTGTATAACAGGATAAAACATTTCCATGCTGTGACTGTTCAATCTGAAAGTGTTTCTTTGCTTTAGAGCATATTAAAATTTATATAAGTTTTATCCTTTGTCTTTTTTAGAGTCCCATCACTTAATCAGGAAACGTGTAAGCAATCAACAAACTGGAGTCAAGCCTTCCATAATTTTTCGGTTATACTCATCATTTAATCAGTTAAACTGACAGAAATGGTCCAATTTATGGACAATAAAAAACTGTTAGAATGGGATTGTGCAGTCTTTGCACTTTGTCTTGTTTTTCTTGTTCTATATCTTAGTTTTCTGCGCTTTATCCTGTGGCTGCATACGCAAGAATTTCCCCCAGGGATCCAGCAGTCTGCAAATACACGTGCAGAGGTCCCTCGGCTTCTACTGAGAAGTTAAGTTCTTGATTTACCTAAATACGATGTTTTCACAACATCGTACGAAAAGGTCTAGCAACATAGTACTGCCATCATAAAAACGGTGTTATGCACATAGCCTGTTTCCCATCTAACATTCACATAACTGACAACATGCTGTCAAAATGCAAAGTAAACCCAATACACAAGTTATCACATGGCGGACGTGGAGACACACGGACAGCTAAAATGGCTGCTTTTTCTGATTCCCACTCCTGTTTATAAAGCCGTGCGTGATACGTGACAACCTAAAAGTGAGAGATTGTATATAATTACTAACGACAGACGTTCAAAACGATTACGGCTGGAAATAAAAACTGAAAGTGAAATCCAGTCCCAGGGGTTTCTCAGAGCGAGCGTGTGACGTATATTATGTGCGACGGTAGTTTCAGCGGACACGTGAGGACTGCCGTTGCCGTGAGCTCTTCAGATGCTTTAAATCAGCCTTCTCGCCGTTTTCAGTGTCATTTTGTTCATGTTAGTGAAATTGTTAGTAATTATTTGCTGACATGATCTACGTAAACACACGATATATAAATTTAAATTCTCTAAATTTTAATAGTTTTTGTGTTTTTCCAGCCAGTCACATTTAATTAATCCGGGGAAAACTACTTGGTAATGATTACAATGATGATTTATAAAAAACAAAACCGCTCTTTTGTAATTCAGTTGTTGACTTTATCCCGTTCAGAACAGTGAACATCACTGTCACTAAAGCCATGAAAAGGATTAAAGCTGACCGCACCTACGAATGATACGAACTAGTTGAACTGGATCTACAGAGGAAAACGAGTCATATATAAACTGTATGATAACATAAATACAAGTATATAATTGCCAAATGGAGGATGGGAAATTATTACATTGTAGATATTAAAATTATTTGTACATAATATTGGAGCAGGACAATGCATTCCCCAAGATTTAAGATTATAACCACTAGCATCAACAACCTAAAAACTGATCAGACTTCTTATTGATGAATAATATTAAATATTGCCCTCCAAGCTGCATCGTTACATGTTTCTAGGAAGATACACAAGATGCTACCAGGCTACCCACATTATTGCTCCTTTTCCTAGCAGCGATGGAGTCCAAGCCGTTTACCCCCGAAGAGGCGCGGCAGATAATGGAATCTCTGGAGAAACCTGCCGTCTTCCTCGACATGACCGCTGGCTGGCCGTCGCTCCGGTGGACGGCAGAGCACCTAGCCCATGTCCTGGGGGAGAAGACAGTCCGATTTCGCGTAGGAAAAAGGCAAGATGACAGAAGTAAGCGAAGACTTCCGAGTTAAAAAATAATGTAGCAAGTCAAGTCCAGTTTTGAAAAAATAACCTTTAAGAACCTTTCGGAGCTCCGACGTATTTTAATATCATGACCTTCTATTGTATAATGGAAGGATTGAACTGCACTGTAAGTAAACATTAATTTTGGGGAAGAACTAACTAAGGTGCTTCAAAGAGCAAAAATACCAAATATAACACTTAAATAGTTCATTAAATGTAAAGAACAGTGATAGACATTCATGACACCAGTCTGGCATGATTTGTTACAGCATTACACTGGAGTTTCACGCATGACACTTGCTTAGGAACATAGACGTTTTTAGTATATGTTGTCTATATGAATGTGTAAAATGTGTTCTGAGGAGTTAAGTCTGTTCTGATCGCTACTGCCTTTATGCTTTCATTCACTGCTTCTCTCTTCTCTCTTTGCAAAGAGCCCTTGTTTGAAACACAGTGCTCATACGTAGAGGCCACAGTGCGGGACTTTTTATCTTGGACCAAAGGCCAGGGACCATGTCCAGGCCCGTTCTCCGACTTTCCCCGCTCAGAGTACTGGGCTTATGCTGACTACAAGTACATCGCTGTTCTGTTCCAGCACAAACCCACAATGTTCCAGGTACCCTGTTTGGTTCTTTTCTTCTGACTTTGAAAGGTAAAGTTCAGTGTGTTTTCATATTAAAATATTAACTCTGTGTATCACGTACTGACAGCATTCTTTGCTTAAGACCTCTACACTCTCATATCTTTAGATCCATTATACACAATAAAATATATGTCAGATGGAAGATGAATCATTTTTATAGTGTGAACAAAAATCACTTAGTAGGACTGCGGTTGTGCCCAGTGACAAATGGTGTTGAGCTGTTTTATATTCTAAACTGAAAGCTTAAAAATTTTATTTATTTTTATTTATTTAAAAAACATATATATTTTTGCATGGTATTTAATATGCATTGCCTGTCTAGTATAGATCAGCTACAAACAGTGACTTTTGTGACCGCTTCCAACTTGGTGTTTTCGAAGCTCCTGGATGCTGAGGGATCATAGCTATATAACACCTGGTCCCTCAAAGATGGTTCATGGGAGTTTTACTTACACAAAAGTGTTCTGAGGGCAGAATGAAAAATGATTGGTTCAGAGAGAATCATTGTTTGTTCTGCCCTCAGAACTCTTTTGTGTTGGTAAAACTCCCATGAACCATCTTCCACGTGCTCAAAGAAACCATAAGCCAGGATTCAGACCTTTTGAACTTGCAGCTCCTTGACTATGCCCAATGCATAATTCATTTTTCCGTGTGATGTTACCAAAAGTGAGAGTGCCGTCAGTTTCATCATTAGGAGCGTCCACATGGACTGTGTGCAGCCGAGATTTTGGGTTTGGTGCACTTTTTACACGTCGATGTGCATCGACCATGCATGCGTAAGGAATTGATAGTCCATTGGTCTGGCTGAATATCATTGCTGTGCGCATGGGCCAACCGCGACCATCTGTGTACACGGACAGCAAAAGTTTGTGAACACAAAAGTGTGAAGCATGAACTAAGCTTGATTCCTCACCAAGGTTGCAGTTTCACTCACCTCTTCCCATCATCAGAAGACTGTCTCTTTGCAAAGTCTTTAGCAATGCAAAGTTTTCTGCAAAAATCTAAATGTTTTTTTTCTTTTTCCGGCATCCTCAAATCTGGTGTCTGCTTTTAAATCCTCTCCCCACGAAAACATTTGGCCCATCGACCGCAATTGAGTCGCACATGCCTGTGTCAGCAGCTGTTGACATCTTCCTGTCCCCATATTTCAAACACCCTCTTTTATTTCATTGACAGAATTATTCATTTCAGACTTCAAATCCGATTTGTCCAGGTGCTCCTCTCTTTGATGGCCCCTTGAAAGCTCCCTGCTCCCCTTTCTAAAGCGACCCATTTGCATGGTTGTTTCATGTCCTTCTTGTACGGCCGTATCTCTCGAAAGCCAGTGAATTTTTCTGTCGCCCAGACGATTCTTTCATTTCCGGAAAACGAAAAGGAATTAGCATCTCTTTGTTTGCGACGATTCCTGTGGAACCGGCGGTTTTGGTTGTGCGCGTCGTTGACTTTAAAAGTGAGGAAGTTGCTGAAAGGTCATGCAGTTTGTTCCCGATCTAAGCGTGGAATGGAAAGAGAACAAAACACTTGTAATGGGATAATGTGTGGCCTGCAAGAGCGGCAGCCGCTGCAGGGAACGAGCACAACCCCAAGCTGGGATGCTTTTGCTGTGGCCAGAACTCCTCACAAACGATTTGCATGCTGTTCACAGACCTCCGAGGGTTTGCACAGCTAACACTGGTTCTGTTGTTTCTGGCAGGATGTGCCGTGGTCTGACTTCGGCTACCCAGGTCGGAATGGACAGGAGAGCACCCTGTGGGTCGGCTCGGACGGCGCCAACACCCCTTGCCACCAGGACACTTACGGGTGCAACCTGGTTTTGCAGGTCCAAGGAAGGTAACGGTATAGGTAGCAGATTTTACCTTGTACCAGAGTCCCGGCGTACACGGAGCTGAGAGCGCCATCTAGGGTTTATGTCACTGAGATACCTTGCAGATAAAATGAAATGTAAGACTAGCATTTATGGGGAATAGCAACACACTGCCAGCCAACCAGATGAGATTTCAGTGGAACTTCTTGTGATCCAGAGCTGTATGGTGTGCAGTGGGGGGTCAGGTCGATATCTGTTCGTGCTTGAGGACCTTTTGAGGAGAGGATCCATTCTTGCTGCCCAGAGTGAAGGCAGGGCGTGATGAAGCTCTGTCCAGTGGGGAGTCTTCACTGCCGATAAGGCAAAACCCTGGCAGATGTGCAGCCTGTAAACCCAGAGCAGCAGCACCACTGTGCTCCTTTTGCCCTGTTTAACCGCTCGTTTCCCGTCACGTGGCCGTCCTTCGTCAGGGAATACACGCTGGGTTCTGTCTGCTGTTCCTCAGCTTTGTTTCTCCTTCTCATGATGCTTGAGATCAGGCTTCAGATCTCATCAGGCTGGCATTTTAGGATGGTTGCATTTATAGAAGATTAAAACATGGTGCAAGTAAAGTGATGATCCCTATGAAGATGGTTGTTTCCATGAAGAGGGTTTATTCTGGTGGCAGACATCGTCATTTCACCCCTGTCCTGTTTATCGGTTTACAGTAGGATGTATTTGCTAAATGGGGTTTTCAGTAGTCTGTGGGCGTGTGGCTCGTTTCTCCTCTGCCAGGAAAAAATGGTACCTGTTTCCTGTTGGGGACACGTGCCATCTGTACCCGACCCGGATCCCATACGAGGAGTCCAGCGTCTTCAGTCAGGTGGACATCACACAGCCCAACTTGCGGCGGTTTCCCGCTTTTGCTAGAGCCAGGGCCCACGTCGTCACCCTGCAGCCGGGACAGGTGAGGGAGCCATTTCGCATCGGAACTGCTTTAGGTAGCGAGAGGAGGCCTGATTAACGTCAGTATAAAATGCCTGTAAGCCACAAAGATCCACCCCACACATCAGTATAAATACTTCAGAGAAGCTTTGCTGAGAATCGCTCGTTATGGATGAAGGGTAATGGTGGGCTGTGAGTCGGTCCTGTTAGCGCAGGACAACGCACTGCACTGCAGTGACTGGCTGGAAGTGCAGCCTGCTGAAGTGTGCCCACAGTGACGACAGGGGGGGGGGGGGCGTAAGCACAGCTCCGGGTACCCAGAGTCGAGGCATATTCAACAGCACTTTCAGTGATGCCCCCCAGCATTGAGCGACAGTCTAGGTCGCCACATTGTGATGGGTGACATTGACGCGAGCATCACAGTCTGCCCCCCCCCCCCGCACCCTCAAGGCATTATGCAAGAAAGCAAGAAAAACTCCTCCCTGCTTAGCTGTGCGGGTCCGGCCATTCTGCGCCCTGCGTGGGCGCCCGCCTCGGGCGTGTGCCCGGCGCACTGAGGTGCATTGCTTCTGTCCTCCTCATTAGCCGAGCGGCTTCTTGACCGCGACTCAGCACTGCCCCCCAGAGAGCAGCTCCCCAGTCTGCCATTTCGCTCTAATTTGGCTGTCTGTCTGTCACAGATGTCGTCTTACACAAGAGCCGTTATTATATGTTATTATTAGAAGTAGGGACCTTATTGCAAGATGTTGAGTTGGTTTGTGCCTATTACACTGTGCCTTGTTAAAAATAATCGCATGAGAGATTTCCCAAGAGTCTTTCAGAGGCGTGAAAGGGAAGTTGCCTTATTGATGGGAGGAAATGTACTTGAACAGGAATTGCTCCAATAAAATACCCGGCTTTGGTATTCGATAAAAATAAAATCATCTGCGACCAGACAACTTGTCATGGCTTCATCTTCATCAGACAGATAAACATGCTGCTTCTCTCTTGAGGGTGCAGCAGCCTGCCACTTGCGAGGCCGAGTCCTTAGCCACAGCGCCCCCTGTCTGTGCTGAATTGCACTGCCTTTCGATCACCCACAGAAAAGCCCGGACCTTACCGTGGATCTGCTGTCTGCCTGCGAGTCGGTCGTGTATTCTGGCCACCCTTGCTCATCCCGTCCTGGCTCCTGACAGTCTGACACTCTGGCGAAATGAGCCTTGGTTCCGATGTTAATTTTCTGAGTTAGATTTTCGGGCTGCAGACTTTGACACCGTCGGCGGGAGTGATGCGTGGAAGATGCATAGCTATGCTCTAGTAGACAGAGTGAGATCTCCAGTGACTGATTCAGGTCAGAGTATTATATGGAGGAATTAATGAAATCAAGATGGTATCTGTTCTTTTTCTGACCTCTTCTGAATGGGCAGTGTTCAGTTCTTGCATATCGCGAATTCTCAGTACATCTGGTTTATTTTCACATGGGGAAACATAATACTGTTATTATTGGCTTGAGGATAACAAAATCAGGTCTATTGGTGTGAATATGGAAATGAAATGATGTTTGAGTTGCCGTTTGCTCATTGGAATGCTTCTTTTCACGTGTCCCAACTTGCTCTCATTTGAGACAGACACAGCTGAGGGTGAATCTTGGAGTCTGAATACAAGGTCAGCCATTTATGCATCACCCCTGGAGCATTTTGGGAGGTTACGGGCCTTGCTTGAGGGCCCAACCGCAATGTGACTGTTCTGTCAAGGATGGAACCAGTGACCTTCTGATTACAGGGACAGGGGCTTAACCTGCTGAGACACACACTGCCCCCTAAATACAGGACATCACTTCCAGCACAAAAATCGTATTAAATGCTTCAGTAGTTTAGATAAGCCCAAGCAGCCAAGCTCCTGTGATTCCTGAAATTAAGGCTTTTCCTGCACCCAGCAAAACCGATCATGCTGCTTAGGGCAGTCCTGGACTCCAAAGATTGGTCAAGATCGGCAATCTGTATATTTTATTGCTTGTAATTCCACCCAACAACAAAGTACTGCTTTAATCCCTTGTCGGGTTTAACTGAACACATGTGTTGCATTATTTTATTAATTGAGCTAAGATAAACATGGCAAAGTACTGAACCTCACAGAGAAATCTGTTTTTGCCAAAGCTTGCCGAGGAATGTTTATACTGCCATCTCATGGCGATTCGCAGACATACGAAACTGATTGCTGACTGAATGCAGTTGCAAGTACAGGAACGATGCAGTTTAACACCTGGGCCTTTGTTACCTGTACAGTTTAACACCTGGGCCTTTGTTACCTGTACAGTTTAACACCCGGGCCTTTGTTACCTGTACAGTTTAACACCCGGGCCTTTGTTACCTGTATAGTTACACGTTTTGCTGTAGCTCTGTTAAAGTTTCACTGGCTAACAGCAGAGGGTTGTGGCTTCAATAACTGCAGGTGTGACAGAAATTCTGTACAAACATTAGCTTTCCAAATAATTATATGTAATTACTGTATAACCCTGCTCACTCCAGTTATTTCATTTTTTTGATTATGTTTTATCTATTTTAGAAGGCACTGAATTTAACTAGTGAAGGATTCTTATTTGTAGAGTAAGTGAAAGGGTGTGTGTGTGTATGAAGTGGTATGTCAGTCATTGGTATGTCTGTCGTGCTCGAACCCGGGTCCTCACTCACAGGCTGAGGGCCTCTCCATCCTCTTTCTGCAGGTGCTGTTTGTCCCCAGGCACTGGTGGCATTACGTGGAGTCGCTGGACCCCGTGACAGTCAGCATAAACTCCTGGATTGAGATGGTGCGCACTGCCCCCCACCCCCGCAGAGACACACGCATTCATTCACGTCGCCTTGGCTTGACGCCAAGTGTAAGGTGTTCCTGGGAAACGGCTGAGCTGTGCATTATTTTACAGACAAGATTACAGTGATGGAGGGACTCTAGCTGTGATTTATACTCGCACTCTCAGAGAGTTTTATTTATGGGGGAAAAAGTCCTCCATTCAGCTTCAGATGTTAACTGTACGTCAGTAATCAGACAGCTTGTGCAATGTACCCTTTTCATTTTTCCCGTCCCAGTTTTGATGTCATCCTTTACTTAAAGTGAGAGGTCTGTTGGCCGATCCGCAGAGATGAAGGATTCATGCGTCATGGTTTCCTGTTTGGCACAGGAAACTGACGACACCGCGCGAGTCGGAGAGGCTCTCACCAGGACCATCGTCTGCGCGTTAAAAACCCTGCCCAGCCCTGACAATGCCGACGAGTGGCTCAATCCCACTGAGGTACTCTCTCCCTTCAGAGCTCCTCGTCCTCCCTGCCTTCTGTACACTCTTTCGGTGTTTCTCCATATGCATTCTGGACTGTACTTGTGGTTGTGTACCCATTTTAAGTCATCTTCCATTGCCGAAGGCCAGTTCCAATATTCAAGAACAGAAGTATAGAGGATGGTAAAAATCCCCAGATGTCAACGAGACATCTGTTGCATCCTTTGCAAACGAGACCAAATACCTTGATTCATTGCGCCCCAAGTTTGTTCTTGGAAGGCAAGGTAGCAAGTCTGGTCTTGCCAAGACCACAAGTACGATCTGTGTTTTCTTGGTATTGAGAAGCACCCTTCCCTTGACGAGGGCGGCCTCCTTCGGGGCTGACCTCGTGCTTCCCAGCTGCTCTAATGCGGACCTGCATTGGTCCCTAAACCTTCCTGATGCTCTGCTGCAGGTCGATGTCCCCACATACGGAGAGAACCTGCGGGATCTCAGCCTGGCCGTACAGGCGTGTGCGACGCATCGTAGTGGTGACAGCCGTGGGCACCCTGCAGGTGGCAGCTCATGGCCTGTGAAACGGGATGCCCGGGGGCTGCCCAAGCACAGTGCGCCCCCTGCAGGTCCCGTACAGCACTGCCCGCCAGATGTCATCCCCTTCGGACCTCACCTCGTGCCGGTTGCTCAGGAGAGTGCAGACGCGCCTTCAGATGAAGGGCCTCAAAGCGTGGATGAGGAGACGGACAAACTCACTGAGGTTACTGGACACAGAGCCCTCTCCACCAATGACCTGTTGGAGGCACTGGTGCATCCGGACGTTATTGCCCTTGCTGCAAAGCTGATTGTGGGCAGACATGGTTGTGGATGAAGAGAGAGTCTGCTTCCCTCCCAGTTACAATAGTGAATGTGTAATGAGGACTTGATTCAAAGGCCAATGAGAACCAGCATGATGCCTATAAAGAAGTCATTCAAATTTAGAATCGGTATAAACAGAAATAAAGTTTCAATAAATAAAACAGCAAGAAAACTTTAATTTGTAGTACAATGTGTAGTACTTGTGTATTGATCTAGTATTTCTCTCATGAATTCTGTTTTCTTCTCCTTCCTCCTTTTCAGTTTGGCGTCATTAAAAATAAAACCACCATTAAAACTGTACGCAGTGGAGCTGAGGTTCAGTGAGTGCTGATAAAATAATACTGCATATTAGTCTTTTCATACTGCTGTGAAGATGTGTTGAGATAGATTCACACAAACAGATATTTGACATTCCTTCTTTCAGAGTGATTGACCAGCATTTCAGACACCCAAGAGAAGGCAGATTATTAAAATGATGTTCTTAAATATTACTTAATATCCATTTAAACATTAAATATTTCACTGAGATTGATCCCTTTGTATGCAATGGGTTGGTGCACCATTCTGGGTTGTTCTCTGCCTTGTGCTGTAGCTTCTGGGATAGACTCCGAACCCCCGCGATCCTACCTAGCACAAGCAGGTATGTCAGATTGATTGATGGATTCCTTTTAAAAACATGCATGTCCATATTCTTTATGAATGACTAGAATATATATTTATTACATTGAATCAAGTTGAAATTCAATCACTTGAATCACCACCAGTTTTCACTAGAAAAGTAAATCCAAGTTTTATTTCCATTCAGTACCAGCAAAGCTTTTAGATGCAGAGCCAGCTTCCTTGCCCATAGTATTATGGGATCAAATGGGGCATTTTTCCAATGTGTAGGATCAGAAAACTATGACAAAATTTAAGGAGCTCGTGTGGAGTCGAAGAGGTTCTCGAAAGCACAGAAAAGCCACTTGAAACAGCTTGTGCAGTGCGAGTGTGGGTGGTTCTGGATTCGGGATGACAGCTAGATGCCCTTGGATGTGCCTCTGACTCCCTCACTGTCATTGCTCCAGCTATACATAAGGCATGGAGGCCTGTAGCGAATACGGAACCTTCTGGGGTGATTGCATAGCATTGTTAAGCTCATCCAAAATGTTTGTCTAACCTACAAGTGGTAATGTTGTGATTAAGTGATGAGTTGTGAAGTTGAATGAAAAGCAGGACTGCTCGTAAGCTTATAGGTTATAAATGGCTTGTTTATGCAGCGTACAAAATTATACACTATATGTGAATATGCTTGCTACTCTAAACCATTATTATATAGTTATAAATGTCAATGGTGCTTTTTTTTTATAGGTAGGCAATAACTACAGGGTTGCCAACTCACGCATCTGGACTGATACACTTTCAGACTCTCATGCAAGGAATCTTACGGCAAATCTTTACTATTGCATTACAAACCTAAAATTAACTACATCAAAAGTGTCTGGGCAGTTTGCAAACCCTACAGACTATTTACAAGGCAATAAAATTGTTACATATAAATGCATGTGCATGTGTGTGCAGACTTGTCTCAAACTGATCTCATGCTAGGCAGCTGACCCAAGTTGGCAGCCCTGTAGCTAAGCCATTCATACAGAGTTAAGACAGGATTTTGCCATCAGAGTGGCTCCTAAATAATTGTCCATGAATGAATGTCCATACAGCCACTTTCAGTAACCCTGATTAGCCGGAACCTATCCCCAAAGGCTGCTAGGCAAGGTCAACAACAGACCACAGGGCACACTCGTCACTGACTCATAGTTCATTACCATACAGCTATGTAAAATGCAAATACTAAGACCTTAAATATTCAGAAGGATTAATTAGAAAAAGATTCTAAAATCTTTAAGTCTGTGTTTTTGGTCAGGGCAACGGTTTTATGGTTAGAGATGTAGGCATATTACATTATCAAAACATCACTGCATAACTAAATCATAAGCTTTAGTATAAAACACATATAAAAAACACAACTGGCGTACAATCTAAATGTACACTCTGGCAGTGAAATTCGGTTCATCCTCGACTTTTTAACATAAATTATTCTTTAAAAGATAATTTTCAGTAATTATAGTTACTTCCTTTCAAATTAAACGTCTGATATGTCTCAAACTCATTGTCTACAAAAACAAGAAAGCCAAACGCTTCTTAATCAGAGTAAATTTATGTCACGTGGCATGCGAAGTAATATTATAGGGAAAATCACTTCCGCCTGGTGACAAAAAAGATTCTGATTGACAGCAAGTTTAATGAATCAGAGAGGGCTATCGGGCGGAATGGGCGGGTGTTGGAAACAGTCGACCAATCAGAGACGCTCAAGCGTGTGAGGTTGAGATGTGAGGTGGCGTGAGCTGCCATAGATGGTATCTGACCCAGAGAAAAGTTTTATGTTGGTAACATATGTTAGCAAAGTTCTGTTAGAATGAATGGAGCAGCGTATTCAAATTTCGATAACCAGGAACACATTCTTAAATTAGGTGAAACGTTTGAAAGACAACCAAAGAGTGCATTCCACACTGTGCGATGTAAGTGCCTTCATTCAGCACATTTTACATCTTGGTATATTGATTTGAATTCTTGCTGTAAAGAGTTTGTACCTTGGTAGTCCGCTATCTTAATATAGTTTGGTTTAGAGAATTTTTAATAATGTGTTGATGTCCCATGTAATATTTTAGTCTTGTTATAAAGAGTAGTATAAGGCGTTTCACTGTTCACAAGCTGTTAACTTGTAACCAGTTTTCCTGTTAATATCCGCTGTGAATATTTCCGTAGCGCCCAGGTAGCCATGCAGCTCCCCCTACCGCTGATTTTAATAAGCCTTATGTTTCATTGGTTTGTCAGCAGTTGGTTTGCTTTGCTTTTATTTTCGGTAAAGTATGACTGTAACGTATCTATTTTATCCCCAGTGCTCTCATTGCCTAGCTTTGTATTAGTTCCATAATTAATTAAAATACGTTTTTTGTTTTTAATAAGATGACTTCAAACCAGCTTCCATTGACACTGCATGCCAGGGGGAGCTTGAGGTGGGGAAGGGGGAACAGGTGACCATAACGCTGCCAAATCTGGAGGTAGGGGCCATTTACATGCTCGTCAGCGTCGCTCGCTAAATGAAATTGACAAAATGCATGTTTAAGACATACTCTTTAATTCTCCCTACTGAACTTTGCTTTCACTCACTTTCCAGGGCTCGACTGCCCCTGTAACCGTGTTCAAAGGCTCAAAAAGGCCTTACATGAAGGAATGCATCCTAATCGTGAACCACGAGACAGGCGAGTACCGTCTGGAGAAGCTCAACAGCAACATCGCGGTCAAGAAGACCAGGTGGGTCAAGGGCAGTAGAGTGCCTCAGCTGGATCTTTGTGTGTAAGATGAGCACTGAGGTGACGTGCGCGCGTGTTTTAGGGCTGAAGGAAGCAGCAAGATCCAGTCACGCCTGGAGCAGCAGACTAGCCGACTGAGCCAGCAGATGAAGACTGGGGGCAGTGGCAGCAGTAAGACCACGCCAGGCTCCAGGAGTTCCCCCCCCAAAGAGAAGATGTCCCCAGCGTCTCCCATGGATGACATCGAGAGAGGTACGAATGGAATGCGTCAAGTGCTGCCACACTCCAGACGTCGGAAGCGTGAGGTTGTGGCATGCTGTCAACTTTGCTCAAGATTAATGCAGAATTGGGGCAACCCTGTTAAAATCGTCATGGTTTATTCTGTCACATTCTGTTTCATTCCCACCTTAACATAACATGTTGTGATGGCTTGCATATGAAAATAGTATATATTTCATATAAATAACTGGTGCTTTATTTAACAAATGCTGCAGAGTGGCAGGAGAACTGTCTTATGTACAGGAATAGTTTTCCTGTGACTTTCAACAGGATTTTTGGAAGTTTATCTTGTGTCAGTGTATAGGAAGGTTTATATGTAAATCTTCATGTCAAAATGTCTGTTAAGGAGCCAGTAGTTGTAGGGCTCGTGGGTTTTGCGATGTTGCCGTAAGGCTGTTCAGGGAGGGCCGTGGAGACGTTACGATGCTCCTCCCCACACAGAGCTCATGGCGGAGGCGCGTGAGCTCGACCAGATGAGCAGCGGTAGCAGCTCCTCCGACTCCAAGAGCTCGTCAAGCAGCGAGGACAGCTCCAGCTCCAGCAGCAGCAGTGACTCTGAGGACGAGGCCCGGCGCCCCCCCGGGCCTTCTGCGGGCACTCCTGCTTCGGGCCCCGCCCACAGCATGCCCATCCTGACCACCTCTCACTCCACCCGCTCAGAGGAGGGCGGGGCCCATATAATGAGCACGCTCAGTGAGTCCATAACAGCAATATCACAAGCTTTGAATCGGATCAGAATCTGTCTGTCTGTCCATCCAAAAGGTATATAGCAGCATACTACTATATAAAAGGGGAACCAATTTGTACCTTTGCTTGTCACTGGGGCTATACTCTCAAGGGTAAATGTACATTTTAAGGTACAGAAATTTGACTATGAGGAAGATTTTTGTACCATTGGGGGTATATTAATGTTGTTTGTACCTTGGGGATGTTCCTCAGAGTCCATTTCTGTACCTTAAAAGGTACAATTACCTACAGCTAAGGGTACAATTGGCAGGCCCTTGAGGGTACAGCCAGAGTGACAAGCAAAGGTACAAATTGGTGTACTGAGAGTGTACTGAGGCTAAAGCAGAGATTACGTTGATCTTGGCACGCTACCTGGGGGCCTGGGAGTAGGGGTTTGGTAACACCAGCCGTTTATTGTGAATAATTGCTCTGCTGTTTTTTTTACTGTCTCTTTGCCTCCTCCCCACAGAGAGAGACCTGCAGCTGAGCGAGTCGGGCAGCGAGAGTGACGAGGACTAAAGCACAAAGCAAGGAGGGAGTTAGGTGAGCGCTCTGAGCAGTTCAAGGTCAGAGGTCGAGCTGGGGAACGATGCCTGCATGAGGCTGCCTGTTTAATGGCACCGGCACCTTCTACTTGTATGATTTGCCCAAATTTTTTTTTTTTATTTTATTTATTATTTAGTTTTTTTGTAATTCAGCACTGTGTATTTGTGCCTTGGAAAAAAAGGTGGAAATTGAAGACAGCATGTAAGCACATGAAAATTGTCAGTAACTTTTCACCCGTGCAAGAGGAACTGGAGTGTGGATGGGCAGTTTGCCAAGGCCCGCCAGTTCATAGAGATGGCATTTGGGACTTTAAGTTTTCAACAGTTTTTAATTTATCACATTGACTACTGTCTTCCATTGACACAACTTGGCCCCCTGTTGCTGTAAAAGATTTGTTGAACTGGGCAATACGTACGTAATCCAGTTTTCGCAGTGATCTTAACTACATTAATTTCCAAGCATCATCTTATTTAATATGATATTAAGGGAGTTTTTAGTGCCTGATGTTAATGGCAACATATCATGGGTTGTTTACAGAAAAAGTGCACTACGCAAAGTAAATCTGAGAAATAAAATTTATGATCATCTCCATGTCGGTGAGTTAATGCATGTGCTGCAGAGGTCTGTGGCTTTGGGCTGGACATCAGCAATGGGCTTGTGCTTTGATTTAATATAACTGACATTGTCTGATGGGGCCAGTGGGACTTGCCACCACACACAGGTGGCTAAGCTGCTAGGGGTATGGTCTCCTCTGACTTCTTCAGACACACGAGTGGAAAGCAGATGTGCTGAGGAGGCACCTGAGGCCCTTCCCTAGTGGAATCTTTGCCCATCCTCAGCCTTTCCTTACCTTTCTTTAGTTTGGGGGGGTCTCTTCAGTCATCCTGATTACGTTAGAGAAGGAAATTTAGTAGTCAGCTAAAACGGTCCTAGTGGTTGGACTGGTGGGTCTGATTTTAGCAAGAGTGGAACTAATGATAATAGGAACCAGCGCATAGGTTAAAGTGGCCCATGTACAGGCCAGTTTATTTAAAAACTGAGGAATAAAGCCAGGTTGCCAAAGCTATTGGTAGATGACCTGCAAATCATTGATTTATATTCTGTTGACGTGTGAGATAATCCATGTTTAAAGGTCATGAAGGGTTTTTTCTCTGGCAGACTGTCAGGGTGGGTGTTTCCCTCAGGTCTGTCCTCTGCTTCTCACGCTTGTCCTGTCATCCCTTGTCCTCGTTCGCCTGAGCTCTGTGGCTACCGCTGTTTCTGTATGTGCGTCACCCATATTTTGCTAAAAGTGGCTTGTATCCCTGGTGTTTCCATAAGACGTGGATCTGGAACGGCATGTGTTTCTTCCACACCTCTGACAGCATCCTGAGTCCAGCCTGGATGGACAGAGCGAGTTTTAAAATGCCTCGTGCAAATCGCGTAGCATATGATTGAGCCACGTGACAATGTGTGAAATGTTGACAGAATATGTATGAAAGGATAAAGCTTTTTGTTTAGAAATGTCACTTTGAGTTATTGATTTTTATGTTTTCCAACCTATATGTGTATATAAAGTTGTGCATATATTTTAGTATACAATAAAATTTAAGTACATTCTTTGAATATAGAGCAGAACACTTCAGAGCAGTTTTCCCATTTTTCCTCATATACAAAGTGCTCTGTGTCCCTTGATAACCGCCCCCCTCCCAGTCTGTCCTCACAGCTGGTTTCGTGCGAAACGCCTTTGTTTCCTGGGGCTCCATCTTGCTAACGCAGCTAATGAATCCGGGCCGCTGTGCTTCCTGGGACAGAACTGATGCTCAGCACGACGCCATGGTGTAGACTGGCCAGAAACATCGAGTCACTTCTGTCCTCAAAGATACGAACGGAAATGTGGGAGGGACATTAAGTCATGCTGCAGAGAAGCTCACAGAAGCGTATGAGGCCCCCGCCTGGTGCCGATGGCCATCTCCCCCACCCTCCCTGAATGTGATATCCAAGGTGAGGGGGCAGAATATACCTCGGTGGCTGGCTGGGGCCTGCGTCAGTGAATCGCAAAGGCACGCAGACGGAACGCTGCTTTTATTAATTTTCCTGGAGTTTTGCGAAGCTGCAAATTACTGCAGTTTAATAAGGTTAAGAGCTGTTAAAATGATTTGGGGGAAAAAGATGAACCCAAAGCAAGTTCTGCTTCTGAAGTTACTGTCAACACACCTGCGGTAGTCTAGATTCTGTGAGACTGCTTATAATTTAGAACTGATTGAATCAGTCCCTAAACTAACATCTGAGTCTAATGAATTAATTTGGTGGGTGAACTTAGATCCTTTCAAAATAAAGTTATCAGCAAAATGATGGCTCCCTTCCTGCTTTCACATTTTCCTGTTAAAGGCATCAAAATATGAACCTCTAGGTGGTGATTTAATGATTCATTTTGTTAGCGTAGCTGTTTTAACACATTCTCTGATTTAACTATTTGTTTTTTGAACTTGCAATTGTCTTGAGTATAATTTTATCAGTACACATACAATACATTTATCCCCACCGCACCAGAATCCCCACACCAAGGGTTGACAACTGCACCACCTCAAGGGGATCCCCCCCCCACCAAGACCTCTGACAAAATTTAATTACTGATGCCTCCCCAACCTAACCAAATGTCACTTTATATATGGTAGCTTCCTCCGAGCCTGCAGGTTAAACGGGGGCTGCGGTTTAAACTAAACCATTTCAAACTCAACCACCGAGTCGCCGCTAGATGTCGCTTTTCTGCGGTCGCCTTTAAACCTGTCCTGTGCATGGTTTAGCTGCGGGTAAAGGAAAGACGGCAATTAGATACTAATGATCTGTTTAATACATTTAAAATTTATTTCTCATGGTCTCCAGTTCTTTATTTTCAATGGATCACCCTCCAAAAATATTCACAGTCCTAGGTCACATTTTAATTGGATGCCATTTGGAACTGCAAAATTGCCACTGAATATGTAACATTGTGGTTGTGATGTAATTAATGTTAAACAGCCTATTTCATTGACCTACTGACAAGGTGTATTGTGAGAAGACTATTCTATGTTTTCAGGCAGAATTTATTTTTTTATGGTGGATTAGTTTTTCAGAGAATGGAAAGTGCAATGAAGAGATTTATAAATTAGTAAAACATAATTCAGTGTTTTAAGGATTAGTAATTTTATAAATTCGGATGGGGAAAAAAGAAAAAGTCGACTTAATCTGCGGGCACCTGCAGGATTTTTGCCAAGGTGTGCACCCCCCACACACACCAGGGGCATCAGAGGGGCATGGATACCCTAGCAGGCTCTGGGGGCCCAGCACAACCCACCTATTAATGAATTACATTCTTGCCTACTTATTTCAGTAGTCCATGCTGACTCCTGTCCACCATCAAAAGCACCTTCAATGGGCAGGCAAGCATCAGACTTGGACTTAAGAGCAATAGGAGAAGGTCATCTGGTCCAATGAATCCAGTTTTTTGTAGTATATGGACAGCTGGTTATGTGTCAAGCATCTTGGTCAACAAGACCAAAAGATGGCCATCCATACACAGCAGGGCTCGGTGTACTGTGTGCAGTGCCACATTATAACCATTATCCCACGAGCCCTTCTGTTGGGTTGTGCCACAGTCGATAACCTATGTTCACATCCCCCATCCACGAGGACTCACCGCCGATTGTGAGAACCCTGCCGGTAGATCATGGATTTTCTATTAATGATCTGGCCAATGTCAGAGTCACTCAGATCTTTATCCCTGCCCAATTCTTCTGCATTCAACATCTAATATACCCCAGACCTTGACACACCCGAGTCATTATTATTCGATCCTCGTGGGGTTGGTCATAATGTTTTGGTTATCGACGTACTGTATAATCGTGGGAGAAAATCACTATCTCGATTTTAAAAAGTAAAAAACCGTGATTCACCCAGAATCATGCAGCCCTACTCCTCTTATTTGCGTGCGTTTCAGATGCAGTTATAACGAGACAGAACATGCAACGTTAACCAAATCTAACTACCAAGGGTATGCACTGTGCCCGTGCCTTAACCGTAATGTGTTTATTTCGCAGTTAACGATTATAAGTAATCCGACACGGGCCGTGAAGGAACATCCGCACACGTAACATTCCCAAAATGTCAGGCAGAGACAGTTGAAGTCGTCGGTGATCGAAAAGTAACGCTCAGAACCATAAGAGGGAAGCACTCTCAGTCGTTCGGGCGAAGGGGGCAGATGCCCCGGGGATGTCCACACACACACGCCCTAACGGAGCAGAGCACAGCGCTCCCGTCTGAACGATAAGTGCAAAATCACTTTAGGAAGTTTGTCTGCTGGCATATGAATTTACAGGCTGGGACTCGTCAAGGCGAACCGAGTAATAAGAGCGACCTTTGGTTATAATGCGGGTCTCTTCCGCGTTGGAAAGTTCAGCCGGGATAAAGGGGAGGGTTACTGCAGTTCACTGTCTTGTTTACGGGGGCTGTCAAAGACCGAGGCACGCTCCCGGGAGGGAGCTTTCTTAATTTCCCCATTTCAGCTGGCTCACCATGTTTTCCCACCTGAAGCGTGGCTGTTATTCGCTCAAGAGGCTGGATGCGCAGGCGGGGATGGGGGCTGCGGCGGCTGCTGCGCTCCGTTACGGCGCCTCCCCTGCCCCGTCGGCGGCTGCCGTTAGCTACGGCGCCCGGCGGGCTTCGTCCAGCACTCAGGCGGTGGCCAGCAGAGGCAGACTGAAAGCCATGGACGAGCTGCCGGGGCCCAGCTTTCTCACATCCCTCTACTGGCTCTTCGGAAAGGGCTATTTCCAGAAAGCGCACCAAATGCAAGTACGTCCGTGCGCTGCGTTTGGCTGGGAAATGTGTACTTTGCGTGCTGCTAGTGCATGTACAGAATTTGTAAGAATTATACTGAATAAATAATACCCGCATATGAAGTGTTGAGCAGTATGAATTACGGGCAGAGTAAGGTGCAAATGCAATTACCTTATAAATACTGTAAAACCGCAGGGCATGAGACCAGACAGCCTATGCTTTTATTTTTCTATTCAGTAAACATATTACAATTAAAGTCATTAAGTTCGGCTAATTGGTGCCGTAGAGTACAGTTGTGATGGTGTAAGTGCCCTGTGATGGAGTGTCATCCCGCCTAGGGCACTCCTGGATGGATGGATGGATGGATATATTAAAAATGAAATGGTTAATTAGTCCATTCTGAAGAGAAGCTTGGATTCTGAGTGCTCTAAACTGAAACTGTTTAATCAATTGTTCTGTTTTCAAGTTATTATATTGTTCCCACCGAGTGCCTGCATAAGAACAAACACAACTCCTCTGTGACAGATCCGCTTCGAAGGAATGCCTGAGAAACTCTCTGTTTTAAATGTAACAATATGTTAATTAAACACCCCTCCTGTCATGTTTTGCTATGTTAACCCGCCTTAAAAGGCCAGGCGTGCGATTCAATTCTTTCAGGAAAGCCTGTTCTTTCTTTCCCCCAGATTGAACACAGCAAGATCTATGGCCCTCTCTGGAAGTCAAAGTACGGGCCGCTAGTCATCGTCAACGTGGCGACTGCGGAGCTCATCGAGCAGGTGCTCAGGCAGGAGGGGCGCCATCCGGTGCGTACTGACATGCCGCATTGGAGGACCTACCGCGAGCTCCGCAACCATGCCTACGGACCGCTCACTGAGTGAGTTGTGCCGTGACCCGGCCGCCTGTCTCCCCCTCATCGTCTCAGCCTGACTGGTGATAATGGGAAAACCATGATGAATGTTGAAGGAATGTCCACTCAGCAATGGTAGGATTAGCATCAAGGTGCCACCAGAAGTGTTTCTGATGAGCAGGATCCAAGTCACCCCCCCACAGCTGGTAGGTTATAGGGTTACGCTCTGGGTTAGATTGTCAGCAGGCTGGTGTTGGTGCCCTTAGCCATACTGCCAGGGTTAGCACCCTCAACTCTCCTCCCAGGGTTAGCACGTTAGCGCCCTTAGCCATACTTCCAGGGTTAGCACGTTAGCGCCCTTAGCCATACTGCCAGGGTTAGCACCCTCAACTCTCCTCCCAGGCTTAGCATGTTAGCGCCCTTAGCCATACTGCCAGGGTTAGCACGTTAGCGCCCTTAGCCATACTTTCTGGGTTAGCACGTTAGCGCCCTTAGCCATATTGCCAGGGTTAGCACCCTCAACTCTCCTCCCAGGGTTAGCATGTTAGTGCCCTTAGCTGTCCTCCCAGAGTTAGCATGTTAGTATGGTTAGCCACCATCCCCATGTGCTAACTGGCATGTCCCCCCACTGTGCCCAGGTTGGGGGCCGAGTGGCAACGCATCAGGAGCATCCTGAACCCAAGAATGCTGAAGCCCAAGCACGTGTCCACCTACACGGGGGCCATCAATCAGGTGGTGAGCGACTTCATTTTCAAAATCGATTGGCTCCGACAGACCCAGGCGGGTGGGACCATTGTGCACGACATGGCTGGAGAATTATACAAGTTTGCCTTTGAAGGTAAGGAGACGAGGGAGTTTGTGGTTATTTGTAGATGAGAATTGCACAGAAGAATATCTACAGCAGTGTAGCTGAAGCTTAAATGCAAGTCCCAATCTGATACTGTACATACCTTTTGCGTGGAGTCATTTTTTGTGTTATCTTTGCTGGAACATAGGTTTTTAAATCTTTATTATTATCCAGTTATGCAAACAGTGTTGTAGATGCATGTTGCTGCAGGTAGCTTAGCCCTGAATGATATACTAAAAATAAACAATAATGAAGTAGAACCTTGACCTCGAACTAGATGAGCTTGTCCTTCATTAGTTATTTGGTGCATGTTGCAGGTTGGTCTGTGTGTTGGGTAATGTCTGTGCTGTTGTAAACCCATGTGAATGAGCTGTTGGTCACCGCATTAACCTTGACTGTTCATAGGTAGCAGATTGTGGATCAGTGGTGCACAGCCCTGGCACTTGGCCACCACATACTCTCTAGGTTTCATTCCAGCTGCACATGTAATTCATATGGTATTTAAATAATGTCAAACTATATTTATGGTATAAAAGTTATCAAGGTGACACCGTCTCAGTGGCGTGTACTCATGTACTTTTGATATTTTCACAAATTTTCTGGATGTGCAGCTGGGGTTGGCAGATGACAGTGGTGGCATGTGTCTGCATGCCCCCCCCCCTGTCTTTCTGACCTCCTTGGCCATATAACAGGCATCTCCACGGTGCTGTTCGAGACCCGCATGGGCTGCCTCAATAAGACCATCCCAGAGGAGACACAGAAGTTCATCTTCTCCGTGGGAGAGATGTTCCGCCTCTCCCCAATCATCGTGCTCTTCCCTAAGTCCACCTGGCCCTACTTGCCCTTCTGGAAGCACTTTGTGTCCGTCTGGGACCACCTCTTCAAAGTCGGTGAGCACCCACCAGATCTAGCCCCCCGTCCTTCCCAGGGAATCAAATTTATATAATTTTCATTTCAGCCCCTAGTGTGAAGCCCTTAGTGCTTAGGGAGCAGAGTGGAATTAGAGAAACGCAGCTGGGGCTACAGCCACTGCTTAGGTGTTTCTGCTGGGTGTGCAGCTGGAGATCTGGTGGAGAAGAAGATGACTGAGATCAGTGCGAAGATGAAGCAGGGGGAGCCCGTTGAGGGGGAGTACCTGACCCACCTGCTGGTCAGTGAGCAGATGTCTGTCAATGAGGTTCTGGGGAGTATCACTGAGCTGCTTCTGGCCGGGGTGGACACGGTAAGGAGGGGGTCTCTGCCATACCCTGGGGGGTGTTACATTTCACTGTGCTCCTTGATCTCCACTGTATTTATTTGTGGTCTCTGATCTCAAAGGTACCAACTGACACCTTTCAGATAAAAGATGGCGGCACACAATCTCAAGGCAAACAGCGATGTGTGTCACATCTTTAAGGATGGCCTCGGGTTCGAGGTCTTTCCATAGGATATCTGTGTTGTCTGCCCTCCCTTAGTAGCTAGACAGGATAGATTCCATCCCCTTCTAGAGGCACCTACATTTCAATATCCACCCATTCCTCCCCCTCCAGACGTCCAATACCATCTCGTGGGCCTTGTATCATCTCGCTCGGGATCCTCTCATCCAGAACCAGCTGAGCGACGAAGTGTCCAGCATCTGCCCCGGGGACAAGGTGCCCACCAGTGACGACATCACAAAGATGCCTCTGCTGAAGGCCGTCGTGAAGGAGACCTTGAGGTTGGCCGCCTTGAGTGTCTGTTTTGTAGAGAGCCACAGCTCTGCAGGGTTTGATCATGACAACAACGTGAATATCCACTCTTTTTCCCTGCAGGATGTATCCAGTGGTGCCTGGAAATGCCCGTATCACCGTTGACAATGAAATTGTGGTTGGAGATTACATCTTTCCAAAAAATGTGAGATGTCTAACTTCCTGAAAACCAGGGTGAACATATACTATATGGTGGAAATTATATGTACATGCCTATTGTAGTAATTGTCAAATTAAGCCACACCCATTGCTGACACAGGTGTATAATTAAGGACACATGCTTGCGTTCTCCTGCAACAAAAATTAGCAGTAAAATGGAAAGTTGTACAGAAGATGTTAGTGACTTTCCACTTGGCATCATCATAGGATGCCATCTATCCAACAAGTCAGTTTGCCACATTTCTGTCCTGCTACAACTGCCCTGGTTAACTGCAAATGTAGTGATTGTGAAGTGGAAACATCTGGGAGCAAGTTTAGTTGCGAAGTGGTCAGCCACACAAGCTCTCAGAAAGGGACCTGATCACCCAAATTAAACACCCAATGTGAAATCCCACCAGCCATGTTCCAACATCTAATGGATAGCTTACCCAGAAGAGCAGAAGTTATTATGGCAAAGGGTGGACCAACTTCATATTGATACACTTGGTTTCGGTATTACAGGCTGGTGTCCACATACCTTTGGCCATATGGTGTAATCCTTTGTATGAAAATATCCCCAACTTGCGGGCTAAAGTTTCTCCAGAATGGTAATTTTTGTTGATTTTGGGAGTTTGCCAAAGAGAAAACATTTGTCTGCACACAGCAAACAGACATGAAGGAGTTTCAGGGCGACAGATATATCTAGTCATTTGCTTAATTTACTATCACATGTGTAATTTGTCATTTTGAAAAATAACAATACATTAGTACAGAGGTTTCTCAATTCACAGCCGAGTTCATTCCACATCATTTAAAGACATATATAGAGTACCTAAGGCCGTATGGTGTCATTTTAAATCAGGATCCCACTGTACTATAATTTATTATGAAGGATTTTGTTCTTCCTGGGTAGTTAGGAAGGGATGGCACAGTGGGTCGATTTCTGCAGTGTTCACTAGCTGGCTGTTCCTCAACTGCTGCGCCGCCTGCTGTTAAAAATGAGCTGTAGACTGTTAGCAGCACCCTGCCAGTGCGATGCCTTGCCAACGTGCTGTGCTGCCTGCAGACGCTGTTCCACCTGTGCCACTACGCCGTGTCCTACGACGCGCAGAACTTCCCGCAGCCGTTTGACTTCCGGCCCGAACGCTGGCTCCGGAACGCCGACCGTTTCAAGCAGCACCCCTTCAGCTCTGTGCCCTTCGGCTTCGGGATCCGCGCCTGTCTGGGGAGGAGGGTGGCTGAGCTGGAGATGTACCTCATCCTTTCCAGGGTGAGGGCAGAGTCCCCACGGCTACTGCCTGCCTGGCCGTCTCTTTATATCGTGGTTTGTTACGTGTGTATTTTAGCAGTTAGCACCTCTGTCCTACACTCCTTACAACCCTAATGAACATCACTGCTGAACACAGTGACATGATTTCTCCTTGCTTGCAAGCTTCAGTCATGCACCCAAACTACGCACCATGTTGGTTCACAGGGGTCACTAGCGGCCCATCTCTGGCATCGCGTGCTTGATCATTGCTAAAATAGAACGCATCTCATGGGGTCATCCAGTGTAACGGGCAATAATCCAATAATCTTCAAGGGGGGCCACTGGAAAATACTCAGTGTACCTGCAGTTAGGTCACCTTCAGTGAATTCCTTTGTGGTGCTAAGGTGTCATCTGTGTTATTTTGCAATAATGTAGTAACCGCAAGCCAAACATTTGGCCTTCAACTTTGATTGTTTGCCCCACTCAGCCAGCGGTGGGGGTGATAAGGCTCTTCAAGGACAAATAACAGTCAATGATTTACCATTCATTTAGAGGGCTGCATGATCCCCAAAGGGAGGCTCATGAAGTGACCAGGGTCCAATCAGCTTCCTGTTGCTTTGCATTATGGGTAATGTTCTTACTAACCTGATGAGTTCAGTGTTCTTTTTTGTGTTGTTTCTATATTGCAATGTATTATTAAATATCTATCTCTAGGGTCAGTAACTTGGTCACAGGAAAAAGTTTGGTGTCTTTGTTCATATTTCTGCATCTGATCTGTTGCCCTTCCTCCTCCACAGTTAATAAAACACTATGAAGTACGGCCAGATCCTTCTGGAGCCACGGTGCAGCCGATCACCAGAACCCTGCTGGTGCCATCCACGTCCATCAACCTGCAGTTCCTGGACAGGAAAGCTCAGTGAGCGATGAGATACTGTTGCTAACACTAATGCTAACGCTACAAGTGTTACCAAGGCCTTGAACTGTGCTACTGTAACACATTTCCCTGTGACTGTAACCACGAGCAAATAGTATATTTACACAGTACAGTTTAAACAGTTGATTGTAGCATCAGTTTTGTAAATACCTTCAATATTTGGGTTTTGGCTCATTTTTACTACTTTTAAAAGAGCACAGTAATCAAATAATTTTAATGTCTTTGTAATATGTAAATATTTAAATAGTATATTTCTTTCCATATTAAAATGAAGGGAGTGGAGTAGAATTGAGAAAAAGAGATGCATGCATATTCATCTTCGATGACTGTGTATTAAGCAAGGGGTTTAACTGGAGGCCTGGGCTTAGGTAAGACTTTTAAATGTACATGCATTTGTATTGCGAGGTATAGTGTTGGGTCTCAAGATATTCAGGTGAGTTAATTATTAACAAGACGATGAACTATTACTATTAAAAGACCAATTCTATTGAATGAGGTAAACTCATTGAATCAAACTGCCTGTTTTCTGCTCATCAGCAGCAGGTGGTGAAAAGGCTGAAAAAATGTAAAAGAAAAATGAAAACCAGATCTATAAACAATGTATCCTATTTCTAATGAATATAGTGTGGGCAATTATAGTGTTAAATACAGGTTGAGAGAGGAAGATGGAGCCGGAGTTTAGGTGGCCCTCTAGTGTTCATTTTTGGGCACTGCTATAAACTGGAGCATCCTATGATGGAGGTTTAGGTAATGCATAATAATCATAGTCAAACGTATTGATTTACTACAATTACTAAATAGACCTTACAAAGTTAATCGTGTCAAGGCTGGAATTTTAATTCTATGAAAAATGTAGTGTAGGAAATGAGGCGGGCATTAGGTGCCATTAATTGCGGACCATCAAACAGGCAAACTCATTTACATAATAAATGCATTCCATACATAGTAATCCTGCAGGCCAGGCTTCTACTACATCTATACAAATAACTAAATATTTAAATGTGAAATATTCAATATTATAACGGCTATTTTAGTATAACATTCAGTTGTTTCACAGCGTGTACTTTCAACCAGTAGATGGCGTTTGAGCCCATGTTTTGGTGCAATTACATTAGTGTTCATGGAATATTCAATCTCCTCTGTTTGCGGAACAAAAAGAATTTTAAAGGACAATAGAGCCCATTTCTCTAAATCTGGCCAGGGGAAATATAAAGGTAGTCCTGGGTTAATACTGATCATTGTACACTCTCACTAAGTCACATCAAATAGTGTTCCCAATTCTCAGAAGCAAGTACAATGATGAAAATGTCTCATTTTGGGGGTAGAAAGTTTAAATTTTGTTTCAGCTTAGTTTATCTGAAAACTGTGTGTCATGAATCAGCATCCCAAATTGTAATATTATTCTGAGAAGTTATGGCTGTAACATGCTCTTGCTGTGAGATGGTTACCCTTGTGAACAACAAACTGTTATCACACCAAAATAAAAGCAGCGTGGCCTAAAATAAGCCAGTAAAACAATGGACCTTTATACTGAAAGCTTCACTTTACTGGGTGACTTATGCCTCAGGTACTTTACACAGTTTATTGTGGGTTTGGTCTCTTTATAACCTTCCTTATGCTTCAGAGGAACCATAAGAAAGATAACACATAAAAGCCAATTGAATGAGGCAATGTTACATCTCTGAATGTTCCGGGGAATCCTTCTGCATGTCGGAAATCAGTGCTGCTGCAATTTCTACAGTTGTTATTCCGTACTCTTCACTGTTGTACAGTGACTCTTCACTGCGATACAGTGTGGTGTGAGTCTCTTCCCTCATTCCTACAAGAACCTGAGAATGTGTGTTGTCAAAAGGATGGAAAGAACTGAAAGTATCAATTCTATCATGTAGAAAATGGTTTCAAAACTAATTTTTTTATAGTATCAATTGTACAGCCTGCACTTCCAGTTCGCACCACTGCACCAATGAGGCTTGTAGGCTGTCAATGTGCACGCCTAGACCTGAGTGCAGTCTCACACGGTGGATGTTACTGTCATGTCTAGACCTGAGTGCAGTCTCACACATAGTGTGTTACTGTCTTTAGAGCTTTATGATGGCCTACATAGAAAATAATGCATATAATAGATCAGATAATAAGATAATAATAGATAGGGCAGCGTTTGGGGAGCTGGGGGTTAGGGGTCTTACTCAAGGAGCTGACATGGCAAGGTTGGACTCAAACCAGCAACCTTCTGATCACAGGTACAGGAGTTTAGGCCACTGAACCCCAATTTCACACATTGCTTACTGGTTTCACAAGTGCCAACATGCATGATATGTTGAGGGTCTAGTCATGTTCTTCTACCACAAGTTGAAATTGCTGGGTTCTATGTCTTTAGAGCAGGGGTGGCCAATCTTATCCGCAGTGGGCCGCTGTGTGTGCGGGTTGTCGCTGTAGCTCCCTAATTATATTACTAATTAGAGGACTGATTGGCTGAAGAGTCCTCACACCTGGGTTTGAACAGCTGACCTAAAGGTTATCCCAAAAACCTGCGTACACACCGGCCCTTTGTGTATAAGATTGGCCACCGCTGCTGTAGAGCATTATGATTGCCTGTATGCCACCTGCATGTAAAGTAATGAATATGAAGCATATACGTTAATTCTACATATTGCATACACGTCTCACAAGTTCCAACGTGCTTGATATGTGCAGGTTTACTCAGGTCCTTTGACCACAAGCTAAAATGTAGTGACTTTTATTTTGAAACAGCGCGGACCGTCAAAAGCCCCGTGATCGCATGAATACACAACAGTAGCCGGATTATTTCGTATTCTATTTGCATGCTATTTCACCAACAAACACGAATTTGTGAAATTTGTGAATTTGTTTGTTTTTGTAATGTTTTAATAGAGTAAATACAGAGAGGATCTATGTCTGGCGAATATCGAACCCAGTACAGATGTGACTTGCATTTTTTCCTAAGGTTTAAAACATTTTTGTAGTCGATTATAAACATTACCACATTAAGACAACGGTCTGCAGTTATTTCGCCTGTGAGTTTGTGTTGATTATTCGGATACAAAGTTTTAAAGTAATGTTTAAAATAGTTTGTACTTTCAGATACACAGATAAATAAGGCAGGCACATAAAAGTAATGTGAATTTGTCTAATTATTGTCTAATTATTTACTGCTTAATCATAATTTAACTTTATTATAACTCCCAGCGTTTCGTGGTCCGGTACCGGTCTGCGACCAGGCGCTGGGAACCTCTACTGTAAATGAAAGAGCCAAGAGTTAAAAATACTTTGATTTGTAAATACTGTTCTTGTTGGCTGTAGCAAATCCCGTGTATATATGCTGTAAATAAGAACGTTCGTCTTTTGTTACATTTTTATCAAAAGGAACATGTCAGTGCAGTCGTGCAAATAGACCTAAGTCTTTAGGGGAATATGAGGATTCTAGTAAGCACTCGTCCCGAATATTACGAGATCGACCCCTATTGAAAAATAAAATGCCGTATCCCGTATTTTCGCACCGCGTGGTGAAGCCCCCGTCCCCCACCAGCTTAGGGAGGGTAGTGGACACGGGAAGGGGGGTGGTCTTCCTTATTTCCTGTGGCAGCCCTAGAAGGACTGATACATATCGACGAGGGCGTGCGTCTCCAGTTAGACAAACACGAGGACACGGTGAGGAAAAAGCGTGAGATTCCGAAAAGGCTGATGCGATTTAAGCGGCAGTTTTGGGACGCGATGGCAGTTAAAACTCTGACATCAAGTGAAAATGTATAGGGAGTTTACAGACGTGCTTTCCTACTACAACGATGATCTGACGTTTGGTGTGTTTGTGTTTCACATGTAGCTTAATGTAGAGCAAAACAGTAATGTAAAGCTGTGTAGCCTACTAATATATTTTAATGAAATCACTACATTAATTTTACTCTCATGCCTGTTTCTAAAAATGACTACATAAGTGTTGAAAACTGTCAAAAATATTTTTTGTCAGCATCAGTTTCTCAGCATCAGATCACCCGATTAATAGTTTTGTATAAATGATGTAGTAATGTATTACAATATGGGCTGGGAGAGATGGCTCTTAGCCTACAAGAGGCCCCTGGTAACACTTCACTTAAGGGGGCACAAATACTTAGTAATAACTCAGTTACTACTGAAGTACAAATCGTGAATAAACATAGTTTCTACCTGAGATAAAAGATGCGTCGCCATTCATTAATGATGATCGAACATGAGATCAATACTTGTGTTATTCATTATAGTTGTTCCTTCAGTAGTTCCTTATAAGTTCATTATTCCTTCTGTAGCTCACAAAGGTTTACAGAATTAACAGATATAGTAATAAATATAGTAACTGCTTGAGATAAAACATGCATCATGATTCATTATTAATGAATTAACATGAGATCATTATGTAACTAACTTAGTTTGTGGTTAATTAATACACAAGTAATAGCATAACACTATTATTTCTGCCCCGTCAAGTGTTACCCTTGGTATTTTCGTAAAACAGATATTATACAAAACTTTTGACAGCTCTTTCATTGCTCAGACCTACATTTTATTTCATGTATTTTTTTTTATCCCCGACTAGGCTGTTGTGGATATTTAAGAAATCAACGCTAAAGGAAAACATTCTTCTAAAAATAGACATGAGGTAGGGGTGACTTCAGGTGTTGTGGGACATCAAGTAATGCGGGACAGTTAAGCTTTGACAAGCTTTTTTTTCCTGGCTAAAGTAGATCCAATTAAAATAGTTGTTATTGAGAGCGGGTATAGAAAGCACATGATCCAAAAAACAGATTTTATTGGTCTGAGGTCAAAGTTGAGGGCGTGGCAAGGATTTTACGGGAACATCTCTCAGAAATCACAGGGTAAGCTGGATGACATATACCTTTTGGGTTGTATTGATATTAAGGTTAGAAATGTTATTAAAAAATGAATCAAACCTAATTTTTATGGGGTTGTGTCTATGATATACTAGTACAGTAAAATAAATACTTTAAATTGACAAAGTTCTATTTACTTTTTTTAAACAGTTATTTTTCACTTGACACACGTTACCAAACTGGTTAGGGAAGGAGGGACAGTATGCCTCAGGTGACATGGGAGAATTTACAGGCTCTGCGAAGAAGAGAGAAAGTACATATTTGACAGGATGGAGTCCTCTTAAATATATTCATTAAGTATATGTAATATACAGTATAGATAATAGTATTTATTTATTTATGAAACGGGGAAAAAATGCCAACTTGCCAATCAAAACCAAATACA